ATGATGCTGATGCTGATGCTGATGATGATGGTACTGATGATGATGATGATGATGATGATGACGATGATGATGATGATGCTGTTGATGATGATGATGCTGCTGATGATGATGATGATGATGCTGATGATGATGCTATGATGATGATGATGTTTGATGATGATGATGATGTGATGATGCTGATGATGATGATGATGATGATGATGATGATGATGATGATGTGATGATGATGATGATGATGATGATGATGATGATGATGACGATGATGATGATGATGATGATGATGATTGATGATGATGATGCTGATGATGATGATGATGTGATGATGATGATGATGATGATGATGATGATGATGATGATTGATGATGATGATGCTGATGATGATGATGATGATGATGATGATGATGATGATGATGATGATGATGATGCTGATGATGATGATGATGATGATGATGATGATGATGATGATGATGATGATGATGATGATGATGATGCTGATGCTGCTGATGATGATGATGATGATGATGATGATGATGATGATGATGGTGGTGATGGTGGGTGGGTCGGTGGTGATGATGATGCTGATGCTGATGCTGGTGCTGATGCTGATGCTGATGCTGATGCTGATGCAGATGCAGCTGCTGATGATGCTGATGATGATGATGGTGGTGGTGATGATGATGATGAAGATGAGGAGGAGGAGGAGGAGGATGAGGAAGAGGAGGAGGGGGAGGCGGATGATGCCACACACGATGAGAAGGATCATTAGGGTAAGGGGAAGGAGGATGAAGCGTGATGGACGACCATGGGCTACAGGAGCAGGAAATGGAGGAGACCACGGTGCGGCTGCAGAGTGCGGCGAGGAGGAGGGGGAGGGGGATGGGGAGGAGGAGGAGGAGGAGGAGGAGGAGGAGGAGGAGGAGGAGGAGGAGGAGGAGGAGGAGGAGGCGGAGGCGGAGGCGGAGGAGGAGGGGAGGAGGAGGAGGAGGAGGGAGGAGGAGGAGGAGGGAGGAGGAGGGAGGAGGAGGAGGAGGAGGAGGAGGAGGAGAAGGAGGAGGAGGAGGAGGAGGAGGAGGAGGAGAGTGGCCCTTCGCCAGTATGTCCCATCCAAGAGTGGCCCTTCGCCTGGACGACCCCTCGGTGCGCGGCGTTCGGGGGGCGCGGAGAAGGGCCAGGCACGATCGCGCGGGCCGTGCGCCGTCGCATCGCGCGCGGCGAGGGGCAGGCCGCGCACCAGAGGTCACCCCTGCTTTATGTCGGGCATGTCCCACTACAGGAGGAATGTTCAAAGATAGTTTAAATTTTCGTCAGGGGTATTCACACATATATATATATATATATATGCAGTTGTATATATTTCTGTTTCTGTGTATATGTATATATACATATCAAAAGTAGTAATATTATCATTGTTAGTATTCGTACAATTGTTGAACATCTTTCCACGATCCGCCTGTGGGAGGACATGCTCGACCTCACCTCTGCTGGGGGAGGACTCGCTCCGTGCGCGTAGCCCACAGGTCACCCCCAGGGGCGCGAAGATGATCGCGCCTCGCGCGTCGCGGCCTGGGCGGAGAGCTGCCCTTCTTCTCCCGGGGGGGCTCGCGAGGGCGCGAAGGTAACCGCCTGTCGCGCATCGCGGGGCGCGATGCCGCCCGCCCGACCTGCCCGTTAGGGCCCGCCCGCCCGCCCCGGCCGTCGGGGTCCGCCCGCCCGTGCTCGTAGACGACGGGAGCTGGAGTCAAGGGTTTCGGCGCGCTCCTGCGCAGGGTCTTCAATGTCACGCTTCTGCGCTGGTATATCCGCGGGCGAGATCCGCCGAATCCAGTTTAGTCCAGCGTCATCCGACCGAACCCGGCAAAGCCCTCGGCTTAGTCCGGCCTGGTCCAGCTTACTGGCCCCTTCACTTGGGCCTCGTAGCCCTTAGTCGTCCTTGCGAAGACCTGCCAGGAGTTGCTTCCTCATGGCTGGGCGTGGCCCGACCTGGCCGTCAGGGTCCGCCCGTCCATGCTCATAGACGCGGGAGACGGGAGTGAGGGTTTTGGTACGCATTCGCACCCCAGACATGCGATGTCCTGATTTTTTCAGCACGGGGTCTCCTGAATTCCCGACCCTTCCCAGGGCCCGCTTCTCATCGCGAATCTCTTGTGACGGTTCCCGGGCATGGCGAGTGCCCCCTGAGGCCGAAAATTGCCAGAAGCCTGCTGTCCCGAATTTTGCACGATGCCCAGCATGTGTGGGACAGGCTCCTCGATATCACGCGCTTCCCCACCCTGCGGCAGGTCCGCGTGGGCGCCCGTCCTCGTTGCGTGATATCCGTCCCCGAACCACCACATGGCGACAGGGCGCTGTCAGTTTTTGTACAACATGGGCAGCTGTACTTTTTTGGGGCTCGCGGGCGATCATCACGCGACCCCCTCGCGCCCGCCCTCCCCGGGAGGTCGCCGTGCTCCAGCTCGAGGTCGCCGCGGAGCAGGAGGCCGCGCGGCTCATCCGGGCCGAGGCCCTTCGCGCTCCCCCCTTCTCCGCTCCCCGCGGCATTGCCCAGAGGAGCAGCGTCCCCACGCACCAAGCCCAGCGCGACCACGAAGCCGCAGCGTGCACATCTCCACGTGCGGAACTCACGCAAGTCGAGAGGCACGCGCACGCTCGTTTTCGCTTGAAGAGGGGCGAGGAGGAGGAGGAGGGGGAGAAGGAGGAGGAGGAGGAGGAGGAGGAGGAGGAGGAGGAGGAGGAGGAGGAAGGAGGCGGGAGGGGGAGGGAGGGGAGGAGGGGCAGGAGGAGGAGGAGGGGAGGAGGAGGAGGAGGAGGGGGGGAGGAGGAGGAGGAGGAGGAGGAGGAGGAGGAGGACGGAGGAGGGGGGGGGGAGGGGAGGGGGAGGGGGAGGGGGAGGAGGAGGAGGGGGAGGAGGAGGGGGAGGAGGAGGAGGAGGAGGAGGAGGAGGAGGAGGAGGAGGAGGAGGAGGAGGAGGAGGAGAGGGAGGAGGAGGGGAGGAGGAGTAGGAGGAGGAGGAGGAGGAGGAGGAGGAGGAGGAGGAGGAGGAGAGAGAGGAGGAGGAGGAGGAGGAGGAGGAGGAGGAGGGGGCGGGGGGGAGGAGGAGGAGGAGGAGGAGGAGGCGTTGGCGAGGGCGCGCCCGACCGTGGCCCTTGCCCTGCCCCCCGGGGGCCTCCAGGCAGGCAGGCCATGAGAGGCCCAGCGGCCGCGGCCTCCGGCGCGCCTCCTCGTCCTCCCCCTTCTTCTTTCTCCTCGTCCTCCTCCTCCTCCTTTCTCGTCGTCGTCCTCCTCCTCCTCCTCCTCTCCTCTTTCTCCTCCTCATCCTTCCTATCCTCATCCTCCTCCTACTCTCCTCCTCTCCTTCCCCTCCCCTCCTCCTCTCCTCCTACTTCTTCTCCTCCTCCTCCTCCTCCCTCCTCCTCCTCCTCCTCCTTCTCCTCCTCCTCCTCCTTCTCCTCCTCCTCCTCCTCCTCCTCCTTCTCCACTCGATGACGATCACGATGACGATGGCGATGACGACGACGATGACCTTGGCATCCTAGATGGGGTCGGAGTAGATGGGGTCGGAGGATCGCGTCGCCGATGTGGCTCGAACTGGGGCTCAATTTTCTCCACGCTGGCGTCGCCATTCTATCGCCGACGTCGCCAGTGCATCACCGATGCATCGCTGACGATGACGATGACGATGACGATGACGATGACGTCATCGTTATCGTCATCGTCATCGTTATCGTCCTCGCCTCCCCCTTTCTCGTGGCATCGCTCGGAAGTGTGCATTTTCTTTCATCGGCGAGGACTGTCGATGAGCATCCTGGGTCATCTCGCGGAAAAACAAATGCGCACACGACATCGGAAAATGCACGGGAAATGGACGTCCGAGCGATAGCGAGTTGTAGGCCTCCCAGATGGGGTCCGAGCAGATGGGGTCGAAGGATCGCGCCGCATCGCCGATACATTGGCGATGCGGCTCGATGTGGAGCCCGCTTTCTTCCACGACGCCGGCAATGTATCGCCGACGTCGCCGATGCATCGGCGATGCATCGGCGATGTGGCGCGTCCCTCAGACCACATCTACTCGGACTCTATCAGGGAGGCCAATGCCCTTGGAAGTTCTCCCCACCACCCTGCAGCCGTAGTCTTCTCCGAGCTGCAGATCTTCGGAGGTGGATGGACCTCCTACCCTGACACGTCGATCAAGGAACTGGCCGTCTTCGGTGCGCGAGGGGGCGTCGCGGCCGTCACCTTTGCGGGTCTGGGTCCGTCGGTTTCGGTCCGGGGCCCTTTTCGCTCAAGGGTGGTTTGCTAAAGGGAGTCAGCGAGGACAAATCCACCCCGACCCCCATGATCGGCGTTTACTCCACGGCCCCGTGCGTTTACTGAGCAGCGCTTTGCTGTTCGATTCCTTCGTCGGGTGCGTTTACTGCACGCTTGCGTTGTCGGGGTGCTGATTGCCAGGGTGGATCTCCAGCCCTCCAGAGGCTTGTCCACCGCCGAGATCTGCGGTCGGGGGGAAGGCCGTGCGAGTCGCGCTCCGGCGTGTGCGCTGAGGCGTGCCCGGGGGCGTCGCGCGCGCACGTGCACGCCCGAGCGCGCGCGCGGGCGGTGCAGGGCCGGGGTGCCAAGCAGGCGGCCCCTCCCGCCGCCTCCATCCCGCGGGGGCTCCCTGGCCACCGCCGTGTGGATGTTGAGCTGCACTGTCATCAAGGGGCCCTGGGAAACACAGATAAATACACACAAATAACGGAATTCCCTATATTTCCCTATTTTTTCTGGATGATTGTCCCCCCCCCCGCTTCCCACATTTTCCCATCTTTTCTGGGGAATCGACGATTAATTGTGTCTGTGTGTTTTTTCCCTCCTGATGTCAGTGCCTCGCTCTCCTGGGGCTTTGCTGTCCTCCTGCTCGTCGACACTTGTCATGTGTGCGGAGCTGCACTGTCGGTGCCTCGCTCCCCTGGGGCTTTGCTGCGTTCCAGCTCGCAGCGCGCACCGCCAGAGGCGGAGGCGGAGGAGGAGGAGGAGGAGGAGGAGGAGGAGGAGGAGGAGGAGGAGGAGGAGGACCACCTACCAAGAGTACATGAATACTTCTCCCCTCTCTCCCCCGAATGTGGCCAGGGGGTGGCGCGGCCCCCTCCGCGCAGGCAGTGCCGTGTACACAGGAGGGTGCCGAGCTGATGCTTCCCGTGTGTTTGTTCCCTCCTCCCTCCTCCTCCCTCCTCCTCCCTCCTCTTCCTCCTCCTCCTCCTCCTCATCCCCCTTCTTCTCTTCGAGCGTTCTCGTTCTCTCCGAAGTGGTGCTCTCACTGCAGCGTGGTGCAGCGAGAACGGTGCTCTCGCCTCAGCGCGGGAGCCTTTTCTGGTTCCGAGTCCTTCCTCATCGTCGTCGCCCCTTCCTTTTCCACTTCCTCCGCCTTCCCCTGGCCCTCCTGCTCCTCCTGCTCCTTCCATGCCAGCTCCTGCTGCTGCTATTCGTTCTCGTCCCCCTGCTTCTTCATCTTCATCTTGTCCCCCTGATCATCCTCCTGCTCATCCGCCATCTACTCTTTGGTCGGGCATGTCCCCCTAGAGCCCGATGTTGGGCGAACAAGTTGAAATAGTCCAAACATACACCAACAATATTCATCACTAGTAAAACAGATCGTCCCCAGACAATTTTATGACTATCGAGGACGCCGGCGGTGCATCACCGGCCGCTCCCTGGGAGTTTGCCGAAGATCGCGCAGCATCGAAAGTCGTGACGTGGCGCGGCCCATCCCGCCACCGTGCTTGGGTTTTGGGTCGGAGTCCTCGTGGACGCTTCTTGGGGTCTCGAGAGGGCTCTCGGGGCCTCTGCGGGGGAGGTTAGGGCCTCTTGAGGGCCTCCTGGGGGCTTCTTGTGAGCCTCTTGGGGGCCTCTTGGGGCATTTGGAGGCTCTCTTGGAGCCTCTTGGGGGCCTCTAAGAGCCCTCTGGGGGCCTCTTGGGACCGAAAGCTCAAAATGTTCATTCGGGTTCCCCTTCTGAGCGCCCTCTTGGGGCCGTCCTGGGGCCTCTCTTAGGCCGTTCTGGGTGCTTCTTGGGCCGTCTTGGGGCCCTCTTGCGCCGTTTTGGAGCCCTCTTGGGGGCTTGTTGGGCCGTCCTGGGGCGATCTTGGGGGCCTCTTGGGCCGTCTTGGAGCGCGGGTAAGCCGAAATGGTGAGAACGCGAAAATCCTTCAAAAACTATGAAACAATCAATGATTTTTGCATGTTGGGGCTCTGTTGGGGGTGCTCTTGGAGGCCTCTTGGGCCGTCTTGGAGGCGTCTTGGGCCGTCTGGAGGCCATCTTTGGCGTCTTGGAGCGATCTGGAGCCGTCTGGAGGCTCTCTTGGACTGCTCGGGACTCTCTAGGACCGGCTTGGGGCGCCCTTGGGTCGTCCCGGGGCCGTTTGAGACCTTGAAGGGGGGGGGGCCGGCGGGGGGCCGGCGGCAGAGTGGGGCCCCCTCGGAGGGACTTTCAGGAGGTTTTTGACCAGGCACTGGAGAAGGGGGCCAAAGACTGTGCCAAACACTCTGTCAGAGAGGTCTCGCACGGCCCACACCGCAGGGCGGGAGCGGCCGGATCTAGAGGCTGCCGCCTCTGCCGCCGACCCCCGAGAAATTCGGGGTGGTGTACAGCTACCAGGCGCAGCGATGGGGTCGCTGTCGTCGTCGTCGTCGTGGCCGTCGCCTCCTCGCGATGCGTCGTGAGGGGTCCTGGATGAAAAGCGGCCCCTTGAGGGGGAGGAGGAGGAGGAGGGGGACCGAGGTTTTTTTTTTTTTTTTTTTTTTTTTTTTTTTTTTTTTTGTTTTTTTGTGTGGATTCCCTTCGAGGCTCCGGTCCAGACGGAGTAGTGTCTTTTTTGTTCGGACGAGCGCGAGGATATCTACGCCACCCTAACCCAACCTAACCTGACTGACGTTGTAAGCGTGAAGGCCCAACGTTAACGTATACTAATGTGTGAATGCCGAATGGTGTGCGTTGTCCAGGAGATTGGACAGAAAACAAAACTCAAGACATCCAAACAAAACTCAAGACATCCGAACAAAACTCAAGACAGTCAAACAAAACTCAAGACAGTCAAACAAAACTCAAGACAAGCCCAAAAGTTCTTCAAACTCACGCGATCAAAAAAACTCAAGACACACCAGGCGTCTTGAGTTTCTCAAGACGGCCGATGTCAGGGTCTCGCCCAACACCGACCGACACCCCCCACCATGTCCCGGCCCCCCCCCCGTGGAGCCTCTGTTCTTGGGGCCCCCCACCCCGCCATTTCTCGCCCGAAACCGACCGACGCTCCCCGCCATGCCCCCACCATGCCCCCACCATGCCCCGGCACCCCCCCCCCGTGGAGCCTCTGTTCTTGGGACCCCCCACCCCGCCAGTTCTCGCCCAAATCCGACCGACGACCCCCGCCGTGCCCCCACCATTGCCCCGCCAGTTCTCGCCCAAAACCAATCGACACCCCCCAACATGCCCCCGCCATGCCCCCACCATGCCCCCACCGTGCCCCG